AAAAAATCCACTATCTTTAAGTTTTTTTTTCCGGAACAAAGAAAACAAAAACAAATCAGAACACATTTACTGACCTTTTATTCTGAAGGGACTCACCGGAAGTCACCTGTCTCCGCGCGGCTGAGCAGAATCCGCGGTAAAACGTTTTCCCTCGTGTTTTTATTCCTGCGTCGCTTTTCACCTCAGTAACGAGTCACATGTTCGAATCCCACCGGGTTTTATCTGTTCTTACTCGATTAACCGACATCAAACAAATCGGGGAGCCGGAAATGACGTGTAACTGTGGCAACCGTAAACTTCCCCCCGCTGAACCTGACGACAGGTAACAAAGAATTAACGATTTGTTCAGGAAATACCGATTTTTAAAAAAAGTCTCCTGGAACAGACTGAACGCGGTTTTCTTCGTCTGCGTTCACTTTAGTTTGAATTGATTCAGAGTTTCCGATTTAACTTTGTTTTAATCTTTTACTTTTTATCAGCTGTCTTTCATTCGTGTAGTTTTGTTAAGTTAGCTTAGCCACGTTCATTTTTTTATCCACGCAAAGTTAAAACTCAACAAATAAATTTAACGCTGAACGCATTTTTGTTTGATTCAATTACTGAACATTCAATTTTGTAAAACTTTAATGCCTCGTCGTTGGTGACACCTAGTGGTCGGAGGGTCACTTCTACTCAAAGATTAAAGTTTGTTGATCGAGAGTCAAAGTCACTGTGACCTTTTGCGGAACATGTTTTTGTTCTTGTGAACGCGATATCTCACGGCCGCATCGAGGGAATCTCCTCAAATTTGGTAGAAACGTTCACTTTGACTCAGAGAAGAACCGATTACCTCAAATGTCACGATCAGTTTGACCTCATGCTCTTGTGAGCGTATTTATGTGAAATCAGTGAAAATATTATTATTATTATTATATCTCACAACTCTAAAGAAAGTGAGGATCCTCCAAATAATCTGTTCTTCTTGGACCTGTTCCCCGTCCTTCCATCAAGTTTCCGCCCGGTTGTTTTTGTGGAATCTGCAAATAAAAGTACTGATTGTTTATCAGTAGAACTTTGGTTTTTGTGTGTGTTTGTTTACGATCCACTTTAACTTCAGATTGAGCTCAGGACAACAAGGAGTGGCCATCGCCCAGAGATGTCTGCTGACATACCCACGGACGGAACGCCTCCACACACAGATCCAGGTCCGTCGCTTCACCCTCCAGCCTCCGCTTCAGCACCGACCTCTAGAGTCCGTGGTGTGGAGCTCCAGGGTCACACAGCGGACATGCTGTCCCCTCAGGGTGAGCCATTGGCGGCCAAGACTCGCACGTCCTCTCTGCTGAGCCCTGACGATGCTGTCCCCCCTGGACCGTCCCAGCCGACTGCTACCGACATGGACGCCTCTCAGACAATCAATAAAAACATGGAACAAGTAGGTTCTACAGGAAAATCTTTAATTGAAAAATTTGACAGGGAACTTTATTCAGAAACAAATATTTACTTCAGGCAATATTAACCAATGTGATCTGATGTCCTTCCTTCCTCTCACCGTTAGATGGCAGTAAAACATCAGGATTATGCCCCCTGGCTGTCACAGTGATTGAAACACGTGTTTCATGTTCGTTTGTTTGCAGACTGAAGCTGGTCCCAGTGAGCTGCTGCTGCACATTGAGCAGATCCACCGGGTTCTACAGGAGCAGAGCCGACAGCTGACCCTTCTGGGAACAGGTCAGTGAACACACTCCTGCTCAGACACACTGTGCAAAAAGCTGCCGTCACAGGTAAACTCCTGACATCCTGCATGTGAGAGCACGAATGTCCGAGTCAGAGCCTCCGGACTTTCTCAGGAGTTTTTCACAGTTTTTTTTACAGCCCCAGAGTAAAAACTGGCTGACACACGCAATAACCACCCCCCCCCTTCTGAGCATAATACAAACCCTGGAGACAGTAGATCGTTAATATGTGAAAACAGCTTTGGAAACGAGAAAAGAGCAGAAACAGTTTTAGGAGAAACTTATAATAAAGGTAGAAAAGTTCGATTTTTCAGATAAATCTGCAAAGAAAGCAGCAACAATAAGACTTTGGTTTCATCTTGAGTTGTGTTGGCATGTTCCTCTCTCTCTGCCGTTGCTGTTGCTGTGATATTCAAGATTCAAGAAGATTTGTTTGTCATTACAAAATGTGAGTGATGGGAAACAAAACTTCAGCTTCCTGGAAGCAGCACTGAAGTAGAAACACTAGAATCTAAAAACTGTTCTGAAGCCGCTTGACAGACACCAGCAGCTCGGCTGTTGCAAAACTCCTTTAACCCGCCAAGAGCAAAAGGTTCACGCCTAAAAAATTTCCGAACACAGAGTCATAAGATCTTGACCTTCTATGTAAAGTAATATAAATATTACGATTTGGCCATATACAAATAAAGTGAACTGAATTGAATGATAACGACGTGTGGGAACGTGCCGCCTCTGTTTTGCTGTGTTTGACCTGCGAGCGCTCGTTAACAGAACCTGAGCTCGGTGTCTGTAGCAGCTTCCTGTGATGAGCAGCATGTCAACATTTGGACATGGAGGGTTCTGCTCGTGGTGCTTGTTGTTTTGGGGGGGGGAAGTTAAATGTGTTTAAATCAGTCGTGTCCCTGTTGCCGGGATGATGCAGTTGTGCAGCTGTATCACCTGTATTCTGTGAGTTTACTGTCTCGATAAACACAAATCTCCAATAAGCTTCTCTGTTTTAAACAAATAATCCCGTTCTGATAAACACTGTGAGTGAGGAGAGTTTAAAAATCATTCCAGGATCCTGCAGGACACTTTTTTCTCTTTGACCTCCAGGATGCAGATGATTTACTCTGACTATACAAGAGAGAGAAACCAATGCAAGGAGCAAAGTGATGTCACCGCCAGCTACTGAGATGTAAATACACAGAGATCACAATTTGTCACTCAGTAAAAGTAACACAACAATGGATGAGATTACACCGTGCGAGTAAAAACACAGAACAGCAGATTCTTTTTGTGAATGTTGCAGGAGTCATTATATACAAATGAAAGATAATCACAAAGGAAACGTCACATTCTCTCGACTTCTTAACGCAGACTTTAGATTCCCAAGAATTCAAATACTTATAATAATATATTCAAGTAAACACAGATATAAAAATAAATTCAAAATAACATACTTTACTTCACATACATTACTTTGCGCTCACCCAAGTCTGCATAAAGAAAAGAAAATCTCAACTCACCCTCATCCCTTCATCCTCCCTCCCTCATTCCTACCCTCATCCCTTCATCCTCTTTTCCATTTCCATTCAAACCTTTCATTCTAATGTTGTGTTGCTGTTCTTGCTGGTGAAAGGAAGTTTGATGACCTTTAATGTTTTGAGTCTGTTGTTCAACAGCAGAACTGTGGGCGGAGCAGTCGTTATCTGCACAGCTGAAGTGTGACGCTCACTGTCTGCAGATGCTGCCTTTAGATATGGATCTATCACAGATCTATTATCTATTATCTATTATCGGTAAAGAAATGTTTCTCACTGCAGAGGTTGTAGTTGTGTTCATTGCTGACTGGCCCAAGTCGTATTTCTTCAGCCTCTGCTGCAGAAACATGGGGCAGAAGGTAGAAATGTAGGCGTCTCTAAACCCCGAGTTACTTAAGCAGTAGACCAGCGGGTCCAGCAGGCAGTCGGTGAAAGACAGAACCATGAGACTGTCGTACACCCACACCGCTTGTAACTCGGCCTCCTGCCACTCCTTCAGCCGAAAGCTCAGCAGCACCACTCGGGCGACAGCGCAGGGCAGGAAGCAGATGGAGAAGACGGCCAACACAGAAAGGACCACCCACGAGGCTTTCCTCAGTTTGGCCTTTTCCCCCACGGTTTTCTTCCTGAGCCGGTGGACCATGCGCACTGTGCAGTAGACGAGGATGATGAAGGGGATGACGATCTGGGTGAAGAAGACGATCTGAAAGAAATAGAAAGTGATGATGAGTACGACGGTCGGTTCTACCTTCAGAGAGGAGACACTGTCCACCTCATTCAAAGAAACTGCTGTTGATATCTTCACAGTCTTCAATTCCAAGATAAAAGTCACTTCTTAACTTAAAATATCTGGAGCTCGTTGCATGAAAGCAGCTACGGAAATGTGTTTATAATAAATCTGCAATCAGGATTCAACACCGGAACACTTGGAACACTGAAATATCTAAAAGATATTCAATAAATCATGAATCAATACTCAACTTAGTTGCATATAAATATTCAACTAAGGAATAAATAGGCTAATTATGTGTGTTGTTGCTGCATCAGATGCTGTGATTGACCTGAATAGAGGAAATTAGATGAAATATAAAAGCTGGGTGTTCTTAAATAAATAAGCTTATAGGAAGTCTGAGCCTGCCAGTAACAGCAGTTCTTATTTACTGTCACCAGTTAGTTCCCTAAACATAAAATCCCGTGTTGCTGATGCTCACAGTGAAATAAAACTAAAAGGCCTCCACCTGCCAGGTGAATTTCTACAGTTTGTGCAGAGGGAAACAAATACCTCTCTGAAGGTGTCCGTCACATTTTGCTCGTCTCGTCCATAGCTGTTGCAGCACTCGAAGGTATTGAGCATGGTGGGGATGGTGAGCGGCAGCAGCAGGAGCCAGATGATGATGGAGATCTGGGGAGATTTCTTCAGCTTTTTGACAAAGTTCATCTTCCCCAGATGGACAACGTTGAAGTAGCGGTCGATGGACAGTGCGATGAGGAAGGCGATGCTGGCTCCTCGGTTGAGAAAGAGCATGAAGAGCAGCGTTTTGCACATCCTGTCGTCCTCGCTGCGCCGCTCGCCATTCTGGTAGTTGTAGATCTTCACAGGGAGACAGGCCACCATCAGGAAGTCAGCGACCACGATGTTGAAGAGCAGGATGCTTTTGTTCTTCCAGAACTTGAATCTGAAGAAGAAGTTATTCACACAATTAAAGGTTGAACATAGAAGAGAGAGACACAATTCAGAGCTGATTGTAATAATTTTTTTAAAATTGCCTTATAAGTCATTTAATCCGACACCACACGAAAGCAAAGTTGGTGTTGTTTGTTATCTTCAGCGAGGAGTTTTACTCTTCATCCGTCTGTCGACTTTACAACCAAAAAGAGATGTTGTGGTCTTACAAATGCTTTTCACAGAAAGAACCAGAGATGTGTGAAGACAGAGACCAACACAAACTGTCGATTAACACACACCACAAACAAGGACTCAAACAGGATGTCAACACAGTCGCTCACTGGAGAGAGCTTGAGTCTGTTAACTAGGTTTATAGATAGCACAAATACAAGTAGGACAAAATGATTCTGCCTGATATTCATGTGTGAATCATTGTCAGGAAATTTGTGCAAACTTCCGCTCTAAAAGGTCACGCTCATCATATTCTTCCAAGGTTGTGTTTGCTCGTACCTGAAGATGAAGATGTAGAGGACCGATAGGTTGAGCGGCAGCCCCAGCGCGAACTCTCCAACCATCAGCCAGGAGAGAGCTTTATAATGAGTAGTGAAATTTCCGTGCACAGTACAGTTGTGATCATTATTTGTGTTGTCGGCCATAATAACGGTGGAGGAAGTCGAGCCGCTTCCACAAAAGTGGGAGAAGTTGCAGTGAAGAGCAGTCGTCCTGTTTGATGAGGCACAGCAGCAATGTGAAGAAGAAGAAGAGTCACAAAGTTTTATCCTTCATGTTTCAGGCGTCTCCTCTGCTCAGGCTCTGGATCCCCTCCAGACTGTGATCAGTCAAGTTCAAGGAGCTCTGCATATATACGCTGAAGGAAGCGCTGAGCAGACCAACACCTTGTGTCAGTGTGTCTGTCGGGTCTGTGTGTGAGAGGCTGCCTCGGGTTCTGCAGAGAGGAAGAATATATAGTGAGCTGGAGGTGTGGTTTAAAGATACAGGATCTGAGTGGAAACGAGTATTAGAGACGTGGGTTTCATCTTTCCAGCTAAAATGCCTCCAGAAAACAAGAAAACACACACCCACACACACACACACACACACACACACACACACACAGTGGCAGTTCAAGGTGATTTCCTTTTCTGGAGAATGGGGGCAATGCTTGTGAAATTCCTCAGGGGGCTGTTCATACAAAAAACACAGTGCCTCCACACATCGAGGGATCTCTCCCCTCTACAAAAACATCCCCTTTAATATCGAACTCTTTAGGTCAAAGACCAACAGGAATGAACTTTATACTCACTTTGTTATATAGATTAAAAAAACCTGTGAAAAGACTTTGGAAGGAATAAACTGCATTTAGTTTTTTTCCCCAAATACTCATAACACAACCAAATACTCACAACATGACCAAATATTTACAGCGGATCTCTTCGTGAGGGGGCGGCTGGTGGAGGTTTGAGCTCTACTGAGTCAAACCGTAACAAATCAAACCTCTGTTACATTTCATTGTCATTAGGGTTTGATAAGAGCATCTTAGGAACCTAATTATTATTTATCTGCACATACTCTTGATTTCAAGCTTTTAAATAACAGAGGTTGTGTATTTGTATCCACACACAGTGTCTCTCTGTCCCAGACATGCTAAGTATGTGACATGATACAAAAGAGCTGCTCTACTTCTGCAGCGAAAGACATGTCTGAACACAGCGATTGTTTTTACAGATGTGGTTTGTTGCCAGTGCATCTTCAGTCCAACACAGTTATTGCAACATCCTCCTTCTTTCACAGAAGTTTAGCAATGAACACGTGTTTCCAATACTGCACATCTCATCCTGAAACATCTGTTTCCTCACTGAATGCCATGTATACTCTCCAATTAATACTCTCTGTTAAGATGCCGCACATTAAGCTCCATGTACACAAAGCATCGACAGCGCAGTTACACGGCAGCAGAGGGAAGTGAAGACAGATGCAAAGTAAAGATATATGTTGTGGTAGACACTTGCCCTGCAGAAACTCAAAAAGCATCATTTCCACAGTTCTACACTTCTGCATTTGTGTTAGACACTGTTTTCCATCAGTGTCGGAAATATCATCATTTTGTTGCTCTGTCAGAAGTGACTCCTGTCGCACCTGTGTCCGTCCTGAGAGGAGGATCCAGAAAGATCCTCTCGTGTGACTCCCCATACTTCTACGTTCTTTTTTTCCCTGGTTAAAGTTTTTTCCCCTCACTGTTGTCCAGTGATACGGACGGCGGGTGCAGCACCTTGTTTAGTCCTATAGATTGATTGATTGGTTGATTGATTGGTTGATTGGTTGATTGATTGGTTGGTTGGTTGTTTGGTTGATTGATTGATTGATTGTATAAATTGTAGTTGTCTTTACCCCAGAAAAGGCCCTTTATATTTAAATACTTTATGTTTAAATACTTTATATTTACACTCTCTCTACGGAGGCCGTCATGTTTTTACATTTGTCCAGACTGGAGAGCGTGAGGTGAGGGGTGTTCAGCTGCAACATGACACTTCAACACTGAATTCTACACACTGCACCTTTAAAAAATTGTCGTTCAAGGCTGTAAGATTCTTATAAAAAAAAAAAAAATGACTTGACTCATCGATGAAATTAATGATATCAACATGGAGATAAAAAGAGTTACCAACTTCCCAAGATAAGATCTCTTATATATTTTAAAATCTGCTTTACCAAACCATGATGATTATCTTTCTAAAGAGCAGATCGCCTCACAGGAAAACTGCAACCAGCTTCACCACAGACCAAAGGCACTTACCGCTCAGTCGCTGATTCACTTTAAAGCAGGATGTCTTCACCAGGCCATAAATATGTATTTCTCACAAAATCACAGGACATTGCACAGTTTGCTTGAGCAACTGAGTTTGAAATCTTTCTGTGAATCTTGCAGCATCTCTGTTCTGTGCCGAGCCGCTTGTCCAGCAAGCTGAGCACCTGTTTAAAAACACTTTTAATGGCGGCGGCAGATTCACACACTCCGTTGTTTACTTTATGTAATGTATGTGTGGAAAGTCCAAGAAGTTGATTGTGGACCGTTTTTTGGGGGGCTTTTATTTTTGAAGGCTCTCCAACGTCTAATCTTTAATCTTTATCTCTGTGTCTAGTTTGAAATTTCCGCTCTGCTCTCTCTGGATTGACTCACTGCTTGTGTTGAGTTGGGTTGGTTCTTTATCTCTGGTTTTAAATTGATATAGTTGAGCTTGGAGGGTTTTAACATATTTTATTAAATCTTTTTGTCTTTGTTATTGTTTGGTTTGTGCAGTGTCTGGTCACTGGGCTGCAAATATGTGAAATAGATCAATTAACTTATCTTTAACTTTATTTACTGTAGTTAATATTATTATTATAGTCATTATTTTTGACCGAATGATTTTGTTTGTTTAGGGACGTACCAATTTATCAGTCGGCCGATAATATATCGGCTGATGTCTGTGTTTATGTTTGCTGATGTAGAAAGTCATTTCTTACTTAATTAAAGTTCGGTTGTATTTGTGTTTTCTTGTTGTTTGATGTAGTTAAGTTAAAAGGTTTATGGTGAAACTGTAAAAATATCAAACCTCAATTCCATTTCTTTGTCTTAAGGGTTCGATAACAACATCTCAGAAATCATCGAGAATCTTTTATCCATGCGTCGGCCTAAATGTCGGTCGGGGCTCTGACTGTTTCTCCTGTTGTCTGTACGTCTGTTCTGAACGAGCAGAGCACGTTTCTCTATACGTTCACTCGAAGGATTCATAGATTTTTAAAACTTGAATGAGGAACAACCCACAGCCGACAGGAAATGTGACAGTGAACTTCTTCACTCTTTCTCCTTGAACCCTTTCAACGATCTCCTGTTTTCTCTGCCTCCTCAGCCCCCTGGTTTCCCAGCGTCGCCTGCTCCATCAGATGGAAGGAGGCCCGAGGTTCGACCTGCCCCCACATGTCTCAGCCAGAGTAAGAACCAGCCACTGCTTCACTCAACCATGTCGCATCACAAACAAAACAACTGAGCTTATCTGACTCGAATTTCATGTTTGCAAGTCAAACCCTGTTTTCCTGATACAATCAAACACAAGTATTTAAAACACCAACAACAGTTCAGAGGTTTTACATCGGGTCGGTTCAAAAGTTTTCTACATTTGCATGCTGCCACAAAGGAAATCCACAAGTATGACTGCGTATGAATCAACAGATGAACCTAAGATGGAGAGAGAGAGGGTTGAGACTCAGTGTTTTCTAACAGTGCAGAAAAGCCTCTTCAGGCTCAGGTTTGAAAACATGATGGAGAGGCTCCCCCTGTTCCGCAGCACAGGCCAGTGCATTCCTGGACACACCCTGTCTGTGTTCACCCACCGTTCACCGGGGGCGTTGCACCAGTGTAGGAAAAGATCGTCTGGGGCCCTGAGCTGAGAGAGGGCCCCTCGAGAGTGACTGATTCCAGTTGTTGCTTCACAGCAAAGACAATTAGTGAGAACCTCATTAAATTCTATCATCGGTTATTTGCGGGCGACTGGAACAAACCATGGACTGAAACCTGTGCTGGTTGTCCACCAATCAGAAGGTCGGGGGTTCAATCCACTTCTCCTCCAGTCGGCGTGCCAACGTGTCGTTGGGCAGGACTGGTGTGTGGCGCCGAATGAATGTGTGTGAACGGATGAACGTGGTCGATGAGACTGGAAAAAGAGCTGAATATATAAATAATTATAATAAACTTAATTTATGTACCTGGTTACCAAAAAAAAAAACACAGACGCTTCAGGAGCTTTTCATCTTGTGATTTGTGGTTTAACTAAGTCACCTCGCATTTTTGATTTTCACTCAAGTGCAAGAATTTCAAGCATTTATCGCTTGAATCAACAAATGTTCATTCCAGAGCTATTTATTAAAGGTTTAAATCAACACTAGAAAACCACACCCTTCTCTTGCAGGACCGTGGCTACGATACCGTGCGGGAGCTTGTTGACACATGAGATTAATGTGTGACACTCTGGGTGCCAGCCTCTACATGCACTAATCACAGTCTAATGATTCACTCAGATTTCACCCACATAGTTTTCTCACCTGGATGAAGTCAGTAGAAATGTATTTATAGGTTCAGCAGCAGGAAATCGTTGACACATTTATTTCTATATATATATCATCGCTGGTTTGTGCTGCTATTGTTTCATAAAGCAAATATTGGGACAATTAGAGCAAAATAATTACATAAGAAGTCAGAGTAATACTTTGTGTACATTTCTTACATGTGACTAATTATTGGAGTTTAAAAGATGTTTGCTTTCAGAATTCCTTCTTCTGCACAATTCTTAAGTTTTTAAATGATCTCACATGTTTAGAAATCACAACACTAACAGTACTTGCTTGTGCTTATCCAGGATCAGGTTAATACAGCTGCAACACTGCTGCATTCTCGTCGGGATGACTTGTCAAGACTCGCAAACACCCACAGGCCAAATTATTCTAATTATTTTAGATGCATTGCAGCACTCTCTGGTTCATGCACTTTTAAGGACGCGCGGAGAACACACACCCCTGCAGATCTAATGGGTTCTTGCTCAGGTCATGCCCCACCCCTCAATAAAATTTCATGGCAATCAGCTCGGTAGTTTTTGTGTAAACCTGCAGACAGACAGTAATAATGTCACTCAGTAGAACACACCGAATTTCACACACTCGAATATTTCCGTTCACTCAATGTGTCTGACTCATTCAGTTTGTTTTGTAGTAATCCGTCAGGTGGATTTTCTGGAATCACGCTTGAAAACCTGCAAACAGGCAAACAAACCGAGAATCGAGGACACATGCCGGTGCGATTGTGTCGAGTCACAAACTAATTAAAGTGCTTTGAACACAGGGAACAAAGTAAACACCACAGCTCTTAGCAGCGTGACGTAGCTGCTTTAAGTTCAGCGTGTACATGTACCTGTGTTGGTCTTGACTTAATATTTGCAGGGTTTCACACAGTGACACATTGTTAGTGGTGCGGATGTGACATTTGCTGAGCCTCATCGTTGACAATTCAGTGTTTGTAAGTGTGCGTTCTGTGGACAAAAGTGGGCGTGAGCTTGTTTTTAATCATGTCGTTAGTACAGAGCTTTAAAACGTCTTTTATCACTAGGAAGCGGAGGAGAAGAGTCATTTAAAGGGAAATGAAGTCTCAGTTTTCTAGAATAAAGTCATAATATCCTGAGAATTAAGTCACTTTATTATTACATTAGAACAAAATTGTGTTATAACGAGAATAAATTCAAATTTTGCAGGAATAATGTCATAATATTACAAGAAAAAGGCGATGTGTCATTTTATGTGTCACCTGTGGTCAGTTTGGGAATATAAAAATTTCCGCTGTTCTTCGGTTCTTCTTCTCTCAAATGTATTAAAATTTCCAATGAATTCAGTTTGTTGCGTAATATTTCACAACACAAACATCTCATTGTGTCATTGGATGTGACGTTAGTGTTGACACACGGTGATGCATGTCGTCACACAGATAAGAAATATCGTTCACATGAAATGAAACACGTTCACCACGCAGCGACACACATGCCCCCTCATTCTGCCGTGTTACTGCTGATAACATCACATGACTTCCGCAGCTGCAGGTCTGAGTGAAGTGTTTCTTATCTCGTGAGTTACGATGATTCATAATTTTATTATGTATAATTTATAATAACGTTCAGTATCTATCGGCCCCTCAAAGTGCTTCACACATTTGTGTATCGGTGTGTTGCTCGAAGGCATTGATCTCCCAACTGTCTGATGAGTGGACGACCCACTCTATCGCCTGAGCCACGGCCGTGTATGTTGTGCAATGAATTCAGTGGGGGTCTGGATCTATAGTCATCCAAGACAACAAGAGGGTTCTTGGTTCAAATCCCAGTTTGAGTGTGTGTGTGTGTGTGGATTTTGTCTGTTGGATGCAGGTCTGTGTGTGTTTGTGGAGTCAAATACAAATAGCCATTAAAGTTGGTTGTTGAAATCACGACAGGTTTGTGAAGCGCTTCCCAACACAATGAGGGATAGTTTATTTAAACTTGATTAAAAATGAAATAATCCTGGACAGAAAATATAAATACGCCCATCTCTCTCTAAATATTTACACAGTATAAACAGTTGTACAATTCATTAAATCCTCATTGATGACCGGCTTCCTGTATGGGCCTTTTTAATAAACTCTTGTGTACCAGGGGTGTGAAGGAATTCATGCTTGTGAATATTACATTAAACTTTCTTTTCTCTTTTTTTGACCTTGTTTTGGAATTTCTCACCAAACTTTACACAAAATCCCTTTGACCAGATTTAAACACTTTGCGGCGGTTCGTTTTTCTTTACTGCGTCAGAATCCAAACCTTGTTTCACAGTTGGAGCTCAGATAGATTCTCTGCGAGACAGACGGGTTGGACAGATAAGATTCCTGCGCTTGGAAGGAATCTCTCATGGTCGTAACTCTGCCGCTCATTTCATTGTCCAAGACAAACAGAAGAAACAGATGTGCGTACTTTAGCTGGGAGGTGTCGCCCTTACAAATAGACCCTAAAGAAAATCCACCAACATTAATATGACAATACACAAACTTGTAACTAAAGAAGATGCGTCTCCACTTCCTCATGTTCCTTAAAAAGGAAGCTAAGGCCCAATGTCCACCCTGAAGGACTCACAGACAAAAAAGCATGACATTGACCTATAGTCCACTTTGTAACCTCACTGTCCCACCCACTAACATGGAGGAGGCAGGGCTTATCACCCATACAGCAGCCAGCCACCAGGGGGCGATCAGGATGTTGTGGCTTCAGGAGGGGGTAGCTGTCATGTCGTCCAATTTTAATTACAGTTTATTAACACTACACATTTTGGACAGTCGTGTACCTCTGTACGTGTCTTTTTAAGAATCGTGAGAAAATAGACGTTTAGATATCAAGTCTTGTCTCCGTGGCGTTTACTTTTCGGACGCCTCTTTCACAAAGTTTTTTTTTGGGGGGGGCACGCCGTCAGTCTCGTGTTGGAAAAAACAACACAACAGGCAGCAGCCGTCCGTCCTCTGTGTTCCATTAAATGACTTGATTGCGCTGCGGCTTCGGTGTGTTTCCTGTCGAGCTTTCCACCGGCAGCTGATCTCCCTTCACCAAGAAGGGGAAATAATTGGAGAGATAAAGGCCTTTAAACTTGGTGCTGCAGAAGCAGTAGACCAGCGGATCCAGTAGACAGTCCATGTAGGAGAGGACCATGAGGCCATCGAACGCCGCGGCAGCTCCATCCTGCCAGGACTCTCCCTTCTCTTGGACCCGGACGATGAGCAGCACCATCCTGGCTATGGCGCAGGGGAGGAAGCAGACGGAGAAGACCACCATGACGGAGGTCACCAGGAAGACAGCTCTCCTCAGCTTGGTCTTATCGCCGACGGTCTTCTTCCTGAGCCGGTTGACGATGCGCACCGTGCAGTAGACCAGGATGACGAAGGGGATGACGATCTGGGTGAAGAAGACCACCTCTCTCAAACTGTCCACCACGTCCTCAGATCAAAAAGAAAAAGAACTTTATCGACATGTACATCAACGACGGAGGCTTGTTTAAGATTGATGGAGTTGATTCACGGTCAAAAGTAAAAATCTGAGTTGAAATCAATGTGGTCTGCAGAGGTGGAATAAGACCAGAGCTCTTATTTAAAGCAACACTACGTGGCTGTTACTGTGCAACAGCGCCCTCTGCAGACGCACATGGGGATTAATTCTGTTGGGCTCCTGAAATGATCCATTAGTTAAGTTAAACTACAGAAGTTTTTGATGTAAGATTAGCATTGTACAGCTGTAGCTGGTTCGTTTTAACTGCCTTGAACATTCAGTGAATAGTTATTAGTAGTTAGTAGTTAGTAGTTAGTTGGCCCCAGATTACGACAGAGTATTAAATTATTCCATTCATATTTTATTCCATTTTTTAATTTAATGTTTTTCTCTCATCTTTTTTTTAAATGAGAAATGTATACGTTTGTAAGAGGTCGTATAAAAACACTTATTAATAATTATCATAATTAGCAACCTCGGGTATTGGATCTTTAATTAAATGAAAAATATTCTCTGAAAGTATTAAGATTTAGTTTTTAGCGTGTCTTGTCCAAGCTGGCATGTGTTGTGTAATTTAAAGCTCTGCTGTGTCGGAGCAAAAATAGATCTGGAAACAGGCTCCATCTGAGTGGATGAGATAACCCCCCCCCCCCCACTCCTCTGAGAGAACGCCATGGAGCCACATTCTTCATCTGTGACTTCTCAACTTCTTCATCACAGCCCCTTTATTGTTATTATTACCATTATTATTTCCAACACTGTTATCCTGTGGCTGTTTTATGTGAACTCTGAAGTTCTCAAGTTGCAGTGACATAAAAAACATGCTTACTCAGCACCGTGTTGCAACACGGTGCTAACTGACAGCGTTGGAGTTGAAACAAGCGGTTAGGGACGAATCATCGAAGTCATCTCGCGCTCGAATGAACAGACTTCCCCCGGGAGACGCAGAATAAAATGAGAATTTACTTCGGTGCTGTGCTTCATTTCACACGAGAGAAGAATTTTATGACATTACCTTTATCAAAGGATCGTTTTCGCCGCTCTTGTGGCTGTTGCAGCACTCGAAGGTCTTGAGCATGGTGGGGATGGTGAGCGGCAGCAGCAGCAGCCAGATGATGATCGAGATCTGAGGAGATTTCTTCAGAGCGCGCAGGAGATTCTTCCGGCCGGGGTGCACCACGTTGAAGTATCGATCTATGGAGGTCACCGTCAGGAAGGCGATGCTGGCCCCTCGGTTTAAAAACAACATGAAGAGCATGGCTTTGCAAACCGTGTCGTTCTTGCTCCTCCGCTCCCCCTGGATGAAATTGGACGCCTTGATGGGCAAACAGAAGAGCAGGAGGATGTCAGCCAGCACCAGGTTGAAAAGGAAGATGTTGTTGGTGCTGGTTTTCCAGAACTTCAGCTTGAATATGAAGAGGTGGAGGACGGATGCATTCAGAGGCAGAGCCAGGATGAAAATCACAATCATGACAGCCGCATAGAAGTTATACAGATTCTTGTTCGTGGCCTCACAATCAGCGTCCTGGCTGTCGTTAGCAGAGAAGTTGTTTTCCATTTGAACGGTTTAATACACCTGCCGAGCAAGAAGAGACCACTGTCCGACACGCAGGGTGCAAAGTATTCTGTGACGAGACAATATCACTCTCCAACAACACACACAAAAAAAAATCCTGCCAAACAAGTTTTCAACCTCCTCTCTCTCTCTCTCTCTCTCTCTCTCTTTCTTTCTTTCTCTCTCACTCTTATTTCAGTCCTCTAAAAGTTTCTCAAGAATCCTCCTTCCAGTCTTCTCTCGTGTGTTTGTGATCTCCGAGTCCTTCCGAGTTTTGTGTGCTGTTGTGCTGGAGTCTGCACCAAATCTGGAACTAATTCTCCCTCAGTGCTGCAGAGCCAATGCTGCTCAGCCTCGTCCCTGTGGCTCCTCCTCACCGCCTGAGGAGGTGAGTCACCAGCTGATTTTCCACTCTGCCACCAATGGGGCTCGAATGCAAATTAGAGGAAGTTAGGACCGGTTCACCTTGATGAAGACTGAGTTACAGATATTTCTTGAAATGATGAAATCAGAAGTTGTGAAAAGCCTCGAGTGAGTGAAACAGTCCAACTGATAACAGATGAAGTTTCTGTGTGACAGTTTCTCACTGAAGCTCCTGGGTTGTTTTTTTAAAACTCAACGTCTCAGCTGATGCTAAAATTGCCGCGAAGGGAAGTTCAGATATAAACTCGCAGATGTGGAATCCTGGGAATTGGTGACAGATTTACGTGCGGCCACGTGGAGGCGGACGCAGCGGCGCTGTCAATGCTTTCTACTATGTAAGGGAAAGTAAAAATGAGTTGCGTGGAATGCTCGAGTCCTGAGGGAGGAGGATTTCTGTAAGGAAGCAGGCGAGGGGGGTTAACCCAAGGCCTCACGCTCAACTCTGCATGCTTCAAACTCCTTCTCCCCGTCAGAGACAAGTCCAGACAGCTCGTCCAACATTCAGACTTTTTCCAGGGAGAGGTTTCTGAGACGAGGGAGAGGATGTGACCTCTGGAGCAATAAAAAAAAAAAACTTAAATGTGTTTGTTGGATTTGTTTTCCGAACGTTTCTCTCTCCTGTGGTCGTTGAATGGTTTTATTTGGAGACAGGATTAAATCTTATCAGATGAAAACACATTCTGTGTTTGCGTCCCCGCCCCCTTCACTTAAAACTGATCCTTGACCCCTCTACCCTACATCTGCTGAGACGATGGGTTAATTGTTCACCGCGCGGGTTACTCAGTGACCTGCAGTGGATTAAAGATATAATGCGTAACAATCATTAAAACGTCTAAAAACAATAGAAAACACCAACACGACTGTGCTGCCAGTCTTCGTTATTACAGTAAACAACAGAAGAGATGACTGTTGTAAAGTACATCAAGAACAAAGCTAGTAAATAATAAGAATGTGCTGTGAAACTGCGCAACAAGTTTCATTAGAACACATTTCATAGGAAAACAGGCGAGTTTATGACAATGATCAGAAACACGTGCAGAAGCACAACAGCATTCTAAACAGATGAATTCATCAAAAAAGAGAAAACCTCATTGAAGATCCTGGTTTGTTTGTTGCAGGAGCTCAGGGAGATTTGCAGCCCGTCAGTCAGACAAACAATCAAACAACTGTACCCAGAATACCGAGCAAACTTGTGACTCCGCTAACACTCACTGAAAAAGTTGTAGCTCCGACTGTAAAACACGGCCAAGCAGAGTTTTCTCACTTTCATCCAGACGAGTCTCACAGGAGGACGAGAAGTTTGACACTCGACACTCTGAACCGTGCAGCGTCGCTTCACCTGCAGATTCTCTCTGGATTATACTCTGTGGTTTCTCTGCAGTGTGATTCACAAAATGTGGAAAGTTACCAAGAAATAATCAGACAGAAAAATAGTTTCCAGTCAACATCATGTCTTTACCCATTTTTAAATCCTTTTCAAACATTTTTCAGAGGGAACCTCTAAAAGTCTCTTTTCCTGGATGTTTGTATTTGACATTGACTTTTACATTAACCTTATTTTTCTTTTGCTCTTTGTTGTTTTATTACTGTGTATTTTTTTTTTAAAGCACCAGAGAAATAACAGGAGAGTTGCTGCTGCCCGACTCTTAAACCGTTCACGAAGGTGCATGGCCGATGTTTATCTGACCAGAATATTTTACACTGTGTTCTTTTATTTTTATTCTTCAGTTCTGTCCCGGCGCCAAGTTGGATTCCATCTGCTTCGAGGAAAAGCTTTGAGAATCGCGGAGAGTTTGTTGAAGAGCAGCAGGAAGCTCATGAGCCCAAACAGCTGAAGGTATATTAAATATACATAATGTATTAGTTTAGTATAAACAGTCATTTGATCAGTGGCCAATCAGGCAGCAACTAGACGAGCTTTACATTGATATGAAGTGAAGTAATAAGTGAAAACATCAAACTAAACCTCAAAACACATTAATAATATTGCATTTATATTTAAAAGCAGATTTGCATTGTTCAAACCAATAAATTCCTTTATTTCATCTGTTCCCTGGTTCTCACCATTCAGATTTAACTGCCACTCTGTGAAAGGTTGAATATGAACATATGGATTATTGTTGTTTTCCCAGAACAATGGTGCATCGGTGAGGTTGAAACAAAGACGTCACTTCTTGAGGAAACGTGAGGACATTTCCAGGATGAACAGAAATAATTTGAAGGTCAGTGACCAGCAGGAGCTCCAGAGGAGGGCGTCTCTCCGCCAGCAGCAGCAGCAGCAGCGCAGCAGGAAGCTGACGTCTGGCGTCCGGAGATGCACCTCTGCCTCATCGAAGGTCTTTAAAGATGGAGGAACGTGCAGCCGGGAGTTTGGGACTTCACAGGACTTCCACTCTGGTTTATTCAATCCTCAGACATCACAGGATCGGACAGAGATCCAGGCTCAAACTGAAACTAAAGAGATCAGGGAAATTCACATGACAAAAGAAGGGAATGGAAATTTACCATTTCAGTCACGACAGAAAAAGTACAGAGCCAACAAACCCACAGGGAAAACCAATTTAGAGGAGACGGAGTCCAGAGTTGTTCAATCGGTCTCCGAGCTGACAGCGTCTGTGAGCTCAGAGAAAAGGCTGAAGCATCAGGAAATGGAAAACATGGGTGAAACTGCAGGAAAGTTTGTGAGTGAGGACGAGGTTAAAGGTCAGATTGGGCTGGCAGCACCTCAAGGAGGAATGTCTGTGGGATCAGGCGGTGCCACCTCGAAGGATCGGTGGGAAAAGTCCCTCCAGCAGAACGACCCACACGTCTGGACGCCCGAACATCCCAACGCTGCAAATGAATCAAATTTAGTGCAACGTTTCCACATTTCCCCCCCTGTGAGAGAGAGCAGCGTGTCCCCTCGGGCCTGGAGACATCAGGAAGTTATTGTTAGTTCTGAGACAGTGAACGACCACATCGAAAGAGTCCCAAGCTCGGATGTGGAAACTCAATCCACAGGCCGCGATGAAACAAAAACACACTTTCAGCTCCGCCAGCGTGGGGAGTCGAGACCAGGAAGAGACGCAACCTCACACCGGGTCAAAGGTCAAAAACAAGCTGCAACAGTGCGTCTCTCTGCACCGAGCGGCACGAGTCAAGCCTCAACACCTCGGAAACGCAGCACATTTCCCACGCATTCCTCCGCAAGCAGCAGCAGCAGCTGCAGCAGCAGCAGCGAGGGTGAAGATAACCCACCCTCACAGTGTCACCAGTTTCCCAAGCTCCCCTCCCCCCCTCGCTGCAGCGGCCCGCAGGAGTCTAAGCGCTCAGAGGACGGTTTCACCAGCGACGCTCCCAGCGAGGCTGAGGACGGAGGGATGTTACCGTGGAAACAGAAGCAGGACCTGAGGCATGGTCCAGGTCTTCAGCAGCACTCGAACAGAGAAAATATGACTCATGGTAATTTGTAATTGGTTTCCAGTGTTTCTTTTTAGGATGAGTTGTTCCTTCATGATTATTGATTGGAAGTCTGTATTGACTCTGTGAATCAAAACACATACGTCGATGGAAAAACCTCATTGTAAGATTTTAAGCAATTATTTGTTTTGTTTTGATTTATTTAAAAAACAACAAATAGATAAATAATTTAGATTTAAATAATAATAATCAATAATAAAAAATAAATAAATAGAAAAAAGAGTCTATTCTATTCTATAATATTCTCTTCTGTCAAATCCCGTACACTTTCCCTATAAACCCAGTTTGGGAAATTAAATATCAGTAATAGAAATGAATAGATAATAAAAAATAATACAAATAAAAGAGTCTGATAAAGATTAAAACTACAAACAAGAGAAATAAAACTCCTCAGGTTAGGGAGTGAAACACAAAGACTCTTAACTCACTCAGCGTTATTGTAAAAGTGTCATTTAAAGAGGCTGTCAGGCTCATTTGAATTAATTCCTCTACATCTAGACTCTAGATAAAGCCGCCACATTACGTGATCTTTTCAACAGGGATGCAACTAAAATTTATTTTTTTGAAAAACATCGATCCAATATCAGTGTTGTGCTTAAAGCAATTTCTGGAACTTGTTAAAAATGTACCAACTGCTGATTTCATGATGAGTCTGACAGAGCGATGCAGCCGCAGGAGGCTCTGCAGGTGTTTCCTCTTCAGATCGATCTTCTTAAAAATCTCAGTTTCTTAATCTCCAGCGGTTCAGACAGCGCTGAGGAGAAACTCGCTGAAACCAGAGATGGAACATGATGATCCAGATAAAACAAAAACGGCGCAAACATTCTGGGGATTTCACAGGTAAGAAAAACCAACTTGTGGTTTTGCAGCTGAATAGATGTTTTTGTTAATTCTGTATGAAATCTGTTAAAATCTGAGCAGCACTGCCTTCTGCAGGAAGTAAGTAGGAGTGGTTTATTATCTTGTTCCTTCACCTGACACGTCTTTTTATCAACAAAACATTCGTCTTTCATGTTAATCTGCTGCAATCCTGCTAAATAACAAAGGAGGGATGAAAAGATGACGTGCATGAAGAACCCTGATGTTTTTTTCAGTTCCAATATCTTACGCACTGAAAATCAGTTTTTAGCAGGATGGATTATGATTGTGATTATTATTGTTTGTTTAGTCTTTTTTTTATTTCTGATAATTCTGCAGAGAACCAGTGGAGGGAGGCTGCACAGGAGGAAACAGAAAAGAGGTCATGAAGAATCAACACAGTCTGAACGAACTGGAGTCCAGGGACGTCCAGGTCAGTGTCTGGTGGGAGCTTCTTCATACGCGGGCTCGTATCCGACAATATTATCAGTAAAATACAACAAAAAAAACAAAAAGGGCATCGTGACAAATTGTAAAAGCAACAAAAGACAATAAAAAAAATTAAAAAAAGCATTTCATAAGAAAAGAGTAGAAGACAAAATAAGAGAATAAATAAAAAGAATTAGAATTAAAAGAGTTGAAATAACAGCGCAGTGTGAGGAATGAGTAATTATTTGATTTAATAAAAAGCCGTGGCAGACAGGAAAGTCGTCAGCATTGGTTTTAAAGTTTTCCAGCTGACCTGCAGTTCTGTGGGAGCTTGTTCCACCATGGGGGGGGGGGTGTTTCTATATCTAGTATCTACGTCTCCATGAGCGACGGGTCGAAATTCTTGAGTGGAGGCTCCATCTCATTTTTTTTTTTTTGGAAATAGGAGGTCAGAATGTTCCGACACCAGACTTGTCTGGAATGCAGCACAAAGACGGACCGCACCTGGGAAAAGCAAACAGGGTCAGTCCGAAGCAACGCGGCGGCAAACTGACAGAAAGAGTCGCCTCTGACCTGGGGAGTCGCCCAACACGTAGCCCACAGATACAGGCCTGACTGACTGACTGACTGACTGACTAACTAACTGACTGACTGACTAACTAACTGACTGACTGACTAACTAACTGACTAACTAACTGACTAACTAACTGACTAACTAACTGACTAACTAACTGACTAATTACTAATTCTTTCCAACTTAAATCTTCAGACGTCTGGTCCTCATCAGGCTCCAGTCACTCAGACACTCAGCAGTTAAACTGATTGTTAGTTTCAGGGAGTTTTGGTTTGATTTGGCTGCAGAGTTGCAGCATTGCAGCAGCAGCGGCGGCGTTGCTCAACAAGCTGCTCCAGTGTTTCTCATGACCTCATGGTTCCTGTTTCACAACACGTTCATCGCTCCTCGCAGACTTCGCCAGGTGAACCGATCCCTCGTGAAAGCGCTGCGTCATGCTCTCCAGCGTCGGAGCCAGAGCCTGGATGATTATTTACTCTCCTGCGTTTCCCTCCAGTTTTTCCCCGAAGCCATGAATACCGCCCACTCCTGCAGCACGTAAAACACAACTGGTACTGCCAGTGTTTCAGGGCTGCAGCGATACACTCAGATGAGAAGAGGTTTAAGAGGTGACATGTGACTCAGTGGAGAAGCAGCAAAACGTATAAGGACACAACATATCGAGCACTCAGAGGACATGTACACAACAGAGCAGTGCAAACCAGAAAATAGATTGAGCAGTGCAAAATACTTTTATACTTCACATTATTATTAACTTAAAATCTTGATGAACAGAAAACTGACAAATAGATTTAAATCATAAGAAACGAACATAATCTTTGTTTATTTAGTTCCTGGGGGGGGGGGGACGGATTTTCATATCAGTCGATTTGTTGATTATCACGATAAGAGAAACATGAGAAACACTAAAATCCTTCACACACTAGAGGTGGATTGATCCTCACTGTGAATAACGCAGGATCCGTGTATTTATACCGAACCTTTGTTATCGTGTGGTGATCGTAGATATTGTTTTTATCGCCCTGGTGATGATGCGTTCACGCCTGTGAGCGTTGCTGCTGTAATTCTATGAGGAATGTAGATTTTGCCATGAGCAATTCAAACTCTGAGTTAACATGTTCAAATGATCTGAAAATGTAATTTGCTTCCTCGGGTTCTCACAGACGCGTCACATTTTTTTTGGTTCTTTGGAACCAACCAACAAGTTTCTGCCTGTTTTTCCTCCCTGATACATTCATCTGCCTGTCACACACTGGAAAGCACAGTTGTTGTATTTCAGGAAACGTGGTGGAACAGCTGTTGGACACAGGTTGAACCTACCAGCGCTGGGCAAACTGAAATAAGATGATTCGAAGCTGAGGGGCGCTCTCAAAGTTTTCAAATCAGATTTGCTCGACATAAATCAACGTAAGCTTTATTATTTCACAGACCGATAAGAGTCGAGTTTTTATTCCAGGTGTTGCACTTTTTAAATTTCCCATTCCCCGAAATCGTTCAGTGAATCACTTGGGAGGTTTCCGGGAAAACACACCGGATTCTTTCACTTTGATTTTGAGTCGAATGAACGAGAAGGTGTGAAGACATCAACAACCTGATGGTGTAATTCTGTAAAGTCAGCTATAAAAAAATATTCCCAAGAGTTAAAGTCAACACATGAGTCACACGTGGAGTTCACAGTGTTGGGTCCTGTGTGTGTGTGTGTGTGTGCGTGCATGAAGCAGGACGGGGGTGATTGGTCGGTAGTTCGATGCCACCTCCAGGAGCTGATCAGAGAAAACTTGGAGCTGAGGAAGAGACTGACTCTCACTCCACAGCGCTGTCTGCAGGCCGGACGATGCACTGCACCGACACGCTCAGCGAACCAGCAGGAACAAAAACAGGTTTGACATCGATACTGAATCTTCTTATTCTGATATATTTAAAAAAAAAAACGTATCTTCCATTTTAATCCGTCAAGTTATTCACATCTGTTTTCTTTTCGTTATTTTATCTCGAAGGTTCATTTCACCACGAAACACATGAACAGACTCGTTCGATGCAACAAAAACTCTAAATGCCACAAAACCTGCTCGGTAACATTTTGGTCTGAACAACATCTGCACCGGCAGAGAAGTGTTTTCATTTCCACGAGTTACAAAACTGAAACCTGTGGTCGTTGCTACGTTCAGTTACAATATCTGTTGTTTTGATCGCTTGTTCCTGAGAATCTGTTCTTCGGACACAATCAGAAAAACAGAGGACTCGGTCGTAGACGAGGCCTCACTCTGTTACTCTCAGAGGACGGGGGACACGTTTGTCCTTTATCTCCGTGGGTAGATGAATTTCCTGGACAGACTGCAGAGATAACGCCTGCACGTGAGACACACTCACACTCTGGGGCTCGCGTGAGAACATTTAATTCTCTCTTCCTTCACTTCTCTCCTCTCTTATTTCTTTGAGCTTTTCTTCAACGCTCATTTCAGCCGGATGGATTCCACCTGTTGATGAGGAGGTGCGTGTTCGTGAGATTTGATCACGAGCACAATCAGAACCTGAACCCGAAACCAAAACCATATGAGGCAACAGGCTCCGCTTCACTTGAGGACAGGTTTATAGAACTGAGGTCTCAACACCACAAGGAGTCATTGATGGAGTCAGTCGTCATAGTAGACGACCTGAAACACTCAGAATGAAACAATATTTGATATTTGTTGTATCTGCCAGTGATGTGGAATCAATGCGTCTCTATTAAAACTAGTTTGACAGAAAGTTAGAACCTTTACAAATGAAAGTCAATGATTAAAACAGTAAAGACTCATTAATGCTGCAGCGCCAAAAGGAATCTGTTTGAAAAACGTTCTTATAAAGAAAAACCTGTGAAGTTGTTTAAAAGCTGAATAAATTAAATGTCTGAAACGAGTCGTAATGAATGAATGAATTGATTGATTGATGAGAAAATTGTTGAATCTACGATTTGAATTCGTGTTTGCGTAAGAATCTGTTCATGTGAATGATTCTCGCTTTAGTTTATCTCTTAAACTAATTTAGACAAAATTTAAATCAATTTAAACAAAAAAAACAATTTGCATTTAAAAGGTCTAAAATAACAAATGGTAATATTTTGAATTTGGGAGAATCGTGCGTGTGTGTGCACATTCTGACTTTATGGTTTTTTTAATCGGTCTGATTGCTCAACACAGAGAAAGTTTCAGTTTCACTGTTGTGCTGGTTTAACGTCCTGTGGTTTCCTCGGCCGGTAGAAATGAACGAAGCTACGCTGCCCTCAGCTGGTCCTCGCTTTACTTTCTCTCCTCACTCTTGAGAGAGATGAGGTTTTAACTGACTTGAGATCAGACGTGTTTTGCTGTAATTGCTGCTGATTTGTCCGTAAAGAAACAATAACTGTTACTGAGCAGTTCTTTAATTGTGTTTCCTCAATGAACAGCTGCGTCACTTTTCTGTTTAAATCTTTCAGGCATCAAATGATTCAAGTGTATAAAACTCTGTTAAGTGGCCTTTAAGCTTCACGGCAATAATTCATGAGGACGAACAAAAGACGGTGTCGAAGAACACGCTGACCTCATTACATGTTCATGCGGCGCAAGTCGATACGCTGCCCGAGTCACTTCTGTCAGTGCCGAGCCTGATTTCACCCTGACAGTTCAAACAGCGACAAAAATACATGTTTTCACAAGTGAGCAGTGAAATACATTACATCACTAAATACTACATTTTACTAAATATAATGTAAATAAAGTCTGAAATAAAATCTGAGATCTATCAGAGAAAATAAAAAGAATGTTTCACAGAGAATTAAAAACATAGATAAATATGTATATTTTATGAATCCACAGGGGATGACATCATTCTACCTGCAGGAAAAAAAAAAGAAAGTGCATGTTTACAAATCTTTAAATCACCTTCGGAGGGAAACGTTTTGTCCTGATGACGGTTTCTCTCTCTGCCCAGCTTCGTCTTTGTGACGGGAGCTTCCTGCTGACGAGGAGAATCATTTCCACCCAGAAAACAAAAACTGTCTCGTTCTTCAACGGAGACGTGAAACACGTTTCAGAGGACGGGAGAGTGGTGAGATCTGAGGTTTTCTCCTTGAACTTTGTTTGGATGCTCTGTTGTTCATGCTTCACCCGATAAAAACGTGTGTGTTACAGGTGTATTATTACGCCAGTGCACAGATTACACACACCAGCTACCCAGGTGGTCTGGAGATCCTTCACTTCCCCAACAAGCAGATCGGTAAGAGACGTGTCTGGAGGGTGAATCTATCAGGGGACTTTTACATTATATATATATATCTTATATATTTAAAGCTTTAAAACAATGCTTTCATCTTAATGTGGAAGTTTTCGCTTGTAGTGAGGAACCTACAGAAATCGATCTGCATCTTCTGAGAGTCTTAAGATGTTTTTAATCAAACAAAGAAATGTTCTTGTCTTTATTTTTCAGTTTGGCCACAAACTGTGAAAAATAAAGGAAAACTCAAATACATAGAAAATGAACATTTCTCTCTCAACTTGAACAGAGAAGCGACACCCCGGAGGGAGAAGAGAGATTTTATTTCCGGACCAGACCATCAAGTCTTCGGAGCCCGACGGCAGCGAGAGGACGATCTTCAGCGACGGCACCATCGTTCTCGTTTCACCGTAAGACCGAAGTCCCCGTCTCATTGAGGCTGCAGCTAACAGGTGTCCTCGTAAATAGATAAAGCTGTCCCACTCCGACAGATCTTCACATCATCCACTGGATGAGGGAGCAGGTCCTGGTTTTACTTGAACCGGCTCATGAAGCGTCCATCACCTTTAAGATGTTTCGTGTCCTGGCTCCTAATTTAGATCCTTTAATTCCCCACAAACCTTCAGAGACGTCTCCTCACTGTCCCAGAAAGATGAAGGGGACAGAGTCTTCGCAGTACAACTTGGACAAGGAAACAGATTATTCTATTGATTATGGTGAAGCACTATGATGATTGTGATTATTATTATTTTTTTCCAGGTCCGGTGAGAAGATGATAGATTTCTCCAGCGGTGAAAGAGAAGTCCACACTTCTCAGTTCAAGAGGAGAGAGTATCCCGACGGGACGGTTAAGACCATCTTCCCCGACGGACGCCAGGAGACCAAGTACCCATCAGGCCGAGTCAGAGAAAAGACGAGAGTCGCACAATCGAAATAGATGCTTGTGTTCACGTGGGCAGGACGACAACTTGTGTAGTGTTTGTGTCACAGGAGTATTTCTGTTGATCAAGATCATGTGGCAGCGCTTGTCCTTCATCTGAATAAGTGATGAACTTAATAACGTAGCACTGTTAAGTCTCCGTGAGCTCAAACTGTGAAATTGATTAAATGTTTTTAATTTCAACAAATATAAATGTGTTAAAAGTTTCTACCCATTTTACTAAACAACTGACAAAATNATATATAGTTCATGGACCAGACAAAGTAGTTTACCTGTAAATGTTCGGGAGCTTCAAGGCCACAGCAGATGGTTTGAATCCCAGCTCCCTCTGTCGGATATCAGGGGCCTTCGAAGAAACGTCCGTCTCTCCTGAGAGCTTCGTCTCAGGGTTTGTAACCTTGGGCGCCCGAAGACCCCTGTTGTCCCTCAGCCACGGTGCGAGGCCTGGACGTGTGCGTCCCTTCACCACTGACACGTTGTGGTGTGTCAGGTTCGGAGTCTTGTCGCTGTGGGTTTTTCTGTCCGTGGAGTTAATCACCGTGACCCTGGCTGCACACGTTTGGTTCGAGTTAACTGGGGGAAGGTGTCTCCGGTGGTCCGCCACAAAAGCATGTTGTCTTGGGTTCATGTCTTTAGACTGTGGGACAGTTTGTAGCAGAGGGAGTGAGGACAGAGGAACGTACGAGGGCCGGGCGACGTGGAGACGAGGCTGCCTGTGCTTACGTCTCCGATAGGCTCTGTCTCTCAAGCTGTCGATCGACGTGTAGTTCATCAGATCGATCAGATCACCGATCAGTCCTTTCTTCACTGTGACGTCAGCTGGACAGTCCAGCGTCAGCGCGGGGCTGTAGTTGACCTCCAGCAGCCAGGGCTTGAACTCGACGTCGACGAGGATGTCGAAGCCGAAGAGCTCCACGCAGTTGGGACAGGAGGGAACAGAGGGAGCGATGGTGAGGAGGGTCAGCGTGACGATGGTGTTGATCCTCTGCCACAGAAGAAGCTCGTCGACGTCTTGGCTGTGGAGGAAATGTCGGAACTTGCTCATGGTCCACTTGCAGCCTGGGCCCACTCGCTCTTTTTCGGCTCTGTAGAAAGGACCCAACTTGTTGATGCTGGTGTTGGTGAGGTGAGCGAACAGGTTCTGCAGAGACGCCAGGTTGTACTTCTCCGTGGCGAAGCGCACCAGCCCCTCTTGATGAATGTAAACAGTCAGCGGATGGAAGCTCTTCACGCACACGTAGATCCTCAGGTCGAACTTGTAGCCAGAGATCAGCAGAGGGTCGCTGACGTACCGCTGCACGATGACGGAGCAGTCGTAGACCAGGTCTTTAATATCCTGGAAGATGAAGATCCCTCTGCCTCTGGAGAGATCCACGGGTTTGCAGATCCAGTAGAGCGGCGGCCCTCCGGTCAGATGCAGTTTGTCGTATGCGGCCAGGAAGCGGGTGTAGTCGTTAGGGAGGATGAACGCGGTGGGACTGAAGTCGTAGAGCGATGAGCCCCACGTGGCTCTCATCCTCCTCAGGTTTCGTGCCAAGAAGTCCTAAAGAAAGACAAGCAGTTCTTTCTTTCATTCTGTTAAACAAACATTTATGTTAATCCAGGGACAGATTTCTTATTAATGGAAGTCTGTGTCTGGAGAACAGATCATCTCCTCGTCTTCACACTTGTCACGTGTATCGCAAAGAACCCAAACAAACGCAGTGACGATTTTGGTGTGAAGTGGACCCACGATAAATTTGAGGGGATTCAACAACGTAAGTGACATTGTTGAAGAATCACTGATTCATGGCATGTACTACAGCCAGCCACCAGGGGGCGATCAAGATGATTTGGCCTCAGGTGACACATCACGTCTAGAGTTGCTATGAAAAGATTATTTGACAACATCATCCGTCATTTTGAGTCTTTATGTTTCAGGACCGTCACCTTGCGTGTGATGCCAACCGTCTTGGGATGGTGGTTGAGGCGCTGCCATGGCAACAGGTTGTGATATTCGGAGCTGTGGAAGGCCGCGCCGCGCCAGTGGAGGTTCCAGTCTCCCTCCTCCCGTTGTCCTCCGTCATATTCTTCCCATCCTCGCTCCAGGAGAACCTGTCTCAGCAGCTCTGGAGCCCTGTCATGAAGTCTGAACACCAGGGACGCAGCCATGCGCCATCGTGAACTGAAGAAACGGCAGAGAAACAGAAACATGGATCAGCTGTACGAGTTTGTCTTTATTTTCTCAAACATTCAAAACGGATGATGACTAAACCTTATTAATAGATTTACAGCATCATAACAGTCACTTCTTTGAAAAGAGAAAGACAATTATACATAAAATCTATTGAGATGCTTGTTTCAGAATAAGTAGAAACTAATTATTATCTATGAAGAAGGTTTAAATTTGATTTCAGAGGCTTTTCTCTGCAGACGTATGGAAACATTCACATTTCTCTCATGAATGTGAAGAAGTTCGTCACAAGTGAGATAAAAAAGAAAAAGGGTCTCACCTTGTTAATGCTCACGAGGTGATGGTCTGATTTCTTGTCTGTCAGGTGAATGAAGGTGTTCCAGTCTTTCCTCTTAGATCACTTTGCTTCAAGTGTTTGTTTACAGGCGTCTGTTCACTTGGCTCCTCCTACAGACAAAACCAGACACAGACACACACACACACAGACAGACACACACACACACACACACACACACACACTGCAGATGGTCTGTGCAGCGGCTTTTAGTTTCAGTGGTTGTCAGATGAATCAATGCCCATTGTTAATTGTTTTTTTTTTTTACATTCTCTCATTCTATAGATAATGTGTAGTCATGTCATACAATACATACAATGAGAAACTATGCAACGCTGCATCATATAACACACACACACAAACACTCAAGAGCTCCGTCACTCTCAGGAGTTTGTCGTCAGATCAAATTTCTAGGATTTGGATCCCTGCCTATAGTTTAACACAGACGTCTGCATCACTGACTTTAAAACCTTTTGGGTTCAAACCCGTGCAGGTGAGAAACAGAAAGAATGAAACACAGAAAACAGGATCTTCTTTGTTCTTAAATATCATTTTATTAAATCTCAAGGCACAAACCAGCAGCAGGCCGCCCGGCTCACTGGGATTTCTTCCGCTCATCTGAAAGAAGAAACGTGTTTTAGTATTGTTGAAACACTGCTCTTCAGATTAAGGGAACTCGGTGGAGGAGTGTGCTCCCAGGTGCAGAACTGGGCTCGTGTGAAACCTAACGAACAGTCAGACGTTTGTTACCACAGTGGTAGAGCGAGTTGAGTTTCCGGATGTCCAGCTGACTGAGATGGGCCCTCTGACCCATGTGCTCTCCGCCCGTCTTGGGCAACAAAGTGGGACCCCCGTCCTGACTGAAGAAATACCTGCGGTGGAAGAAAAACAAGTGTAATGGAATCCGAGGACTGAATTATCAGAGTGAAACATGAATCACATGTTTGAGGAGACGTGTGGAGTCAGACTTGTTTCAGTCTAAAAGAAACACTCACCATCCGTAGTGCATGATGGAGTTTACGTCATACGGCAGATTCAGAGTGTCCCCATGTTTCACCTTGAAGTTATTTTGTCTCCCTTGAATCAGAAATATTATTCATTATACCTGGAAGTAAAAGTATCACACGACACGCAAACATGCATCTGACCCGTCGGCCTGTCCTCCGAGGCCTGTACCTGGCATGATGCTCTGCCACTGCACGCTGACGTACTGGTCCCGGTCCCAGCGGGTGTGTTCGTGATGTAGTCCCAGTGCGTGGACCAGCTCATGGCAAAGGTTCCCCTCGCTGCACGACCGACCGTAGTACAGCGCCTGGGCTCCTCCTCGACAGCCCACGTAGGACGCACAGCTGGAGGAGACAGACACGGGGAGGACAGTTTATTTGAAATGTGTGAACCGTTCACATGAAGAAGCTCAGTCCTCCGACACAATGGAGGAGCTGATTTCCGGGCCTGTGAGGTGGAAGGTGTGAAAACTAAGAGACAGTTCAGTGTTTGTGTGAAATAAAGTTTCAGAAATATAAACACACTCGTCTCACCCTTCTCACCAAACCTCCTCAGTTTGTTTTAGATTTCATCAACGATGGTGTTTAAAGTTTTTTGGCCTCGCTGCTTATTTCACTCCTCATGTTGCACGAGGCTTCAAGTCCTACAAGTCTTCTCGAGAGTTTAACTGAACAATTTGTATTTCTAATCGTTAGTTTTCTTTTATATCTTTTGATTTTATTGTGAAATCGAATCATTTGCATTTCTTCTCACCCTCTCCCGTCCTTGATGTTCAGGTAGTTCAGCTCCGTCGTGTGTTTTTTGAAGCGAATACATGTGAAGTTTGAGATCATTGTGAAGGCAGCGTCGATGTTCGACTCTCGATCAGCTGAAAACACACAAACAGTTTCATCAACACACACAGACACACAGACACACACTTGAGTTTGAACCACAACAACTCACCCAGTTCATAACTGATGGAGTAGGGGACCATGGCGTCCTGCCACAGGCTCTCCACAGCGTTCCTGTCCTCCTGTGACAAAACCACAGTTTAAAACGTTTCATGTCATTTTTGCCATTTGTTCTAAATTTGATTTCTTATTTATTTTAAAATTCCAGATGAAGCTGAATCTTTTGAAGCCACGTTCGTCTTACCGGCATCAGAATGTCTCCTTCTTGGACGATCAGGTCTTCTTGAAGCTCTGAGAGTTCAAACATCAGGTGGAAACACAGAAACACACATTGTAGATTTGAACTCGGATGATTTTTTTTTTGTATTTTGATCTGTAATCATTTAAATTTTACCCTCTAAAGTTTCGGAGCTGACTCTCTGCGGCGGCCCAAGCTTGACGGAAACGGATCCACCACCTAGAAATTTAAACGTTATTGAAATTTCAAACATAAAATCTCTCAAAAAATTATTTTTTTTTAACAATGAGCACCAACCTGGTGATGGAAGAGTTGCATTGTGGGTATCATTGAACAGCTGAGCACTGACTGAAAAAGAGACATCCAATAAAATAAACACTCAAGTTTGTGTAATAACTTATTTTACAATTATGAAAATACTGTAAATACTGAGCATGTACCTTCTGAAGGCTGTGAAGTATTTAGCTGCTGCTCGTCGAGCTTCAGAGTCACTGTGACGTTACCTGAGCAGAGGAGGGAACAGGAATTCTCTCATAAACAATTTAATTCAATATCTTATCTTATTAGAACAGAGATATGATCGCATCACACCTGTTCTTTGATTTTTACATTTAGTTGTTTCTGGGATTGATTTTTAAATTGCATTGATTATGCTTAAGGCTCTTCGTGGCCTGACCCCAGATCAGCTCTGATCTTTTCACTCTCTGATTGTATCGCACACGATCAGTTTGATGTGTTCAGTGAAATGAGTTTCCTGAAGTGAAATTCCTTAAATTGCAGCAAACATCCAAAGAGCACCCACCTGTGTCAGGAGCAGCAGTACCCTGGGGGGGTTGTATGGGGACTCCAACAGCTACATGAGGAGAAAGAGTCAATTATCATCATCATCATCATCACTCAGATGAATATCTGCTTCAGCGTCTGGTCCCCTACCTGTGGACACGCAGAAGAAGAGCAGGAGCCACGCAGAGTCACGACGCGACATGGTTTCAGAGAATCTGAGGCCTGAGGTGATTCCTGACACTAAAACTCAGCAGGTGAGATTACTTCACTGTGATTATAACCTCTCAGTCTGGCCTGTGGAGGGCGCTGCAGCAGATTTATCTGCTTGTGCAATGGAAACCAAGTAAATCAGACATTCATGGTTCATTTAGATTTGCTGCCTCTGAGATGAAACCTCTCCTGTTGTGATAGAAGGATAATCTGCAATACTGTCATAAGAAAACTAAACTGAACTGAGCACATTTTATAAATCTCAACCAGCGATATATTACTGTTTGTTATCTGCATTCGTTTGTTTGTTGGTGAGCACGATTATTAATCGATTGATGAGAAGTGAGGAGATTAAATAAGTCTGTGCTTCTTCTCACTTCTTTTCAAACATGCAGATCAAATAATTAACTGTTTGTAGATAAAATACTGTTTTCAGTTTTTCACTGGTTTGTAGGATTTCTCTAAAAATAAATGAAAATGAACGAATGAATGAATGAGACCGGTTTCCAAGTGGGACAGATGATAATGTGGGACAGACACATGTGTCCCACATCTGGGCCAAAACAGTTCGGAGTCATTCATCAACATTTGAGAACTAATCAGAAACTCAAAGAGCAGATATCTATTATTGAATTATTCGGTTTGTTCACCAATGAGGGCAGATTATATCATACCATTCTTCTTTCTGCTCCTTTTCATTTAAATATTTGAGATTTTTAAGTTTTAAAATTATTTTTGTTTGGTTCGATGAATGAAATAAACTTCAACATGGGGGGGAAGTGTGCGAGAGTGGAGTTTTCCCACAGAGCGTGAAGGCAGCGCCAGTCACCGTCATGTGATGTCCTGTCATGTGGTGCGGTCACTTCCTACTGACTCGGCTCGGAACTCTCACACTCTGCTGCATCATGTCGTCTCACTGAGGCTCAGCTCGCACGTCCCCCGCGCAGACAGCATGTTTCCTCGGTGTTCATCCGGCCGGAGGCTCCCTCTCGGTCCGGCCCTGTGGCTGGCGGCGTGTCTCGGGTGTTTGCTGGCCCGGTCCGGAGCTCAGGACGCGGGCAGCTCCGGCTCCAGCAGCAGCAGCAGCTGGTCGTACCAGGATCTGTGCAGGTGACAACAACACAACAACAACACAACAACAACAACACACCTGAGACACAAACCCTGCAACACAACAAACACACACACAACTGCGCCTCATCCGCTCACCCACCGCCAACTCGAGTTGTGGAACCTCGTGTAAATTAGTGTGTGTTTAGTTTCACTCTGGTCACACACCCGGCGTCACACAACCCAACACATCACAACAAGGTTCCCTGTCAAACGTGGCTGCTACACAATCATTCGGCTCCGTGCTCCGGTCACGGTATCCACTTTTACGTGTGTTTATTTCCGGTTAAAGACGCGCAACGTTGCCGCTGTGAAGGTGAAGTGTTAGCGCGCTAACACCTCGATAAACACTGTTGTTATCGGAGGGACAGTCGCCGCCGGACACGTTTTCATTTCACGGGACCTGATTTGAATGAAAATGAATTTAATTGAATGATGTTCTGACTGAATGAGTCATCGCTTATTTATCTAATTGTTTGTTATCAAGCTAATGTGTAGCCTCGCTTCCTGCTAACGTTACAAGCTGTCATGTAACAGCTAACGCTAACTGTTAGCACGGTTAAATGACACGTTTTTCAAAGGGACCCTGGCATGGCAGATATATGTGTGTACATTCACTAATACTTGTACTTTACTCGAGTATTCAATAAATACTGCTTTTCCTTCTCAAAGGGAATTATTGCGTTTTTACTATATTACATTTATTTGACCATTTAAGTTACTAGTTACCTTTGTATACTTAAAGCTTCTGTGTAAGAACGTGAGTTTAAGATAAGATTGACCTTTATTAGTCCCACAATCGGAACAATTTTAATATTACAACAGCAAGAGTCAAAATTAGGCTTCAGCAAGAAAATAATAATCAACATGCAACTCTTGAGTGTAAGGAAATATAAAGCCTATAGAAAAATATGAGTGGAGCTAATACATACAGTGTGAGATGTTCAGTGACTGAACCATTGTGTTGCACAGACAGAATGAATATTTCACAGTTAAGAGAATTAAACCCGAGTTAAAGTCCGTGATGGGTGAAGTTCCGCTGGGAGCTGTGATGGCCCCTGCAGGCGCTGGGACACTTCACAATAACTACAAGTACTTTCACTGTGCGTTACAAGGACTCTTACTTTGGGACCTTCGGCGTTATTGTTTCTGAACAGCGTGTTGAATACAGTTGTCCTTCTGCACGGAGCTCTGTTCGGGCTGCGGCTGTTCAAATATTGACGCAGCAGCGAGGCAGAAACCAGGAGCTGCGACATGTGAATTCAGTGTTCATGTAAAGACGCTGTAGTAGTTCACAACACACGTCATGTGGCAGGTTTAATTGTACATATACAGGATACAGGTCGTGGTGGATGGAGCATTATGCCGTTTGTCATTTATTTAAAGTTCTGTGTTAAAGGTTCAGTCGCCTATGAACAACCTGCATGTTTAGTTTTTTAAAGTGAAAAGAAGACGACTCCTGCAACGGACTAAAATATTATTTCCTTAACTTCAAAAAGGAAGTGTAGTTGTTGCATGTGAAAGAGTTTGTGTCTTAGTAGTCAGTACTTGTGGTGACTCCCCCTTTGGAAAATATAACAGGTTGCAAACACTTCAACTTGTGTTCTTGATTAAGTTCATACATATTTTAAAGCTGTGTTGCACCTGCCTCTCTGGTATAAGAGGGTAGAATACTATCTCTCACCTTGTTACTGTTGTTGACAGCTCTGTAAATGAGCAAATCCACAAAACTGAGTTTAATCACATCCTCTGTCTTCTCTTTTCCTTGTGTCGCAGTTATAAATGGGAAGCTATCGACCGCGATAACAAAGTGAGCTACACGTTGAGGCTCTGCGAGTCTTCACCCCCGACCAGCTGCGGCCCCAGCACCGCCGTCTGCGCTCAGGACCTCGTCTCCGGCACCAAACAGTCTGTCGGTGAGTGCAGCCGACAAGAAAACGGTGTTGGCAGTAAAGTTCTTGCAGTTGCATCACATGCTTTTATCAGCCAGGTGTTGTGGCATCATGGCTGCCAGATAAACCCTTAAAGAAAGAACTGTGGTCGGAAAGTTTGAGCAAGATTCTGACAGTTTTCTCCTCAGGTGCTTAACAAGTTTTTTTGTTTTGTTTTGATGTGACTGTGATCAGAGACTGTTCACGGGGAGAGCTGTGGTTTTATAAGTAACTGTTGAAGTGCAGCCACTGTGGTTTCAAGTGTGTCAGCTGACTCGTTGATTCACGGCCGGCTTGTTCTGATAAAACAAAGTCCTGCTTCACTTGATGTGTCTGAATTCTTGAGACATAAATCGTTACTTCACTGCGGAAGACACACACACACACACACAGACACACACACACCACAGTACCACTTCATCTGCAGCTTCCAGTCTGTTGCTCCATGTGATTTTTTTCTTCTTCTCACGTTATGAAATTCTAGAATTGTGTTTTCGTGCAACGGGAGGAAGTAGAATCCGTTTGTTCATCTTTATTTAGCTGACTCTCAATTGGTCGAGCGTTTGTATTGATGTATATCGTCAGGACCTGATGATGTCGTCGGCGCAAGAGGGCGACGTTCCTATCTGGGTTATTTGTTTGCTTCATTTCTGGATTCTGGGATTAGATGGATCTTTATTTACACTGTGTGTTTGATGATCAAAGTCACACTGTCAGAAACGCTGATGAAGTCACACAACATCATTAAATGTACTTCAGCCTTAACAAGAGGCTCGTTCTAATCTCTGTTACCGGTTTTGTTGTCACGGTGACTATAACCTCCCGTAGCCTGTGTTACGTTTGCTGGTAAAACTTAAACTCAGATTCAAACTTCCACAACAGCTCTGCTGTCTTCTCTGTACTTTGGACGTCATTCATCGCCTCTTGTGTGAAGTTGCAGCTTTGCAAGAGTCACCTTCGACCCCACCCGCAGACAGACAGTGTAATAAAATCAAATAGATTCAATACAGAACCTTCAGTGAAAGAAAATCGAATCATCTTGATGGCGGGAGCACGACTGTGATCGTGAACGTTTCAAACTGCTCAGTGCTCTAGTTTGACATTTGATGAAAGAATGATATTGATATTGCACCTTTAGTCAGGATTGTTATATTTTAGTTTTTGTAATTTGTTTGGACCGTGTGTGGAATGGATATTATGCAGCTAAAGATTTTTTTTTTTTATAAGGCAAATAATCTCATTATTATCAAGATAGTTTTTGCCTGAGTTCATCGATGAATCATCTTAGGAAGAGAAGGGACATTAGCGCTGTTGATGAAAAACGTCCTGAGGTCAGACGTGACCTCTGAGGGCTTCTCTACACGCCCAGAGGATCTCTGCTGTATGGATCAGTCCTTCAGAGCTTTATCGGTACATTCTCACATCTGATCTCTGTGCTGATGAGGCTGAATCTCCTGCCGCTGCTGTCAGCAAGATCCACATCGCTGCCCCAGGAGGCCTGATGTGTCTCAGCTTCTCTGTTCATGCTCCGTCTAATTCTTTAGCTGCTGTTCGTGTGATTTGGTCATTTAGACCTGGAAACATGAACCAAAACCACAGTTGATTTTTATCAATAAACCACGAAGATCAAGATAACTTGCAGCTCATGTGCTGTATTCATGACAGGAATATTCAGTTTGATGAATTAGTTATTAATCATTAAGAAGGATCAGTATTTTAAGAGTCATTCTTTTCATGTAAAAAACACCAACATCCTGTTGATTGGTTTTAATGTGCGTGTTAACATTGTGTGTCACTATTGGTCGATCAGCCTTGACCTCCAGTGAACACAGACAGTCCTGAACGCAGCTTAATAACGTGAACGTAAATCGATTAGGCTTAATCTAAAGCAGCAGCAGCCCCGTGTCTCTGGATCTAAAGCTCCAAACTTTCTGTCTCTAATTTCACCTGAAGATGATGTTTGAAACCGGATCTCACTGTTTCTGAGTTTCAGTCACGTCACTTTCTTTGACCATAAGCCTTAAAGAAAACATGCTGCCAGTTAGTTCCAACTCCCACCGCCACAACAACAACAACAACTTGTTCTGCAGACTGAAGCCGTGACCTTCCCCCGGTGACAAATTGGTGTTTGGTAGCTCTCAGCCAGAAGAACAGCGTCATCTGACTCAGATTTCTGAGCATGACAAAGAGCTGTGTCTCTCACTAAAGGCTCTGAACTCACTATTGTATTCGAGGCTCCTGTTGACGGTACAGTTTGTCTCCAGCTTTGTACTTTTAGGGTTTCATCATCGCAGTTTAGTAATTTTGAGGAAGATCCAATATAGAAAGTATGGGGAACAACAAGCAGTGTGGGTCAGATGGACTTTAATCAGACATCGTGACTCATCACATGACCCACAAACGCACCACGAAGCATAAAAGCTCACAGACACAAATAGACTCACATATCTCACCCTCTGCTCTGTGTCGGTTTGCTTGAGTTGAAGCTTTCTTCGTGCTCTGTGGTCAGAAACCAGACGTGGTTGGTGACTTTGACGTTCACGTCTCATGTGTTTCCTCAAATCAAAATCGTTGGAGAAAAATGTTTTGTAAGATCAGTGTCTGTTTAGGTATTAATGTTATTATCTCCGCCAAGGACGTTAGGTATTTAAGTGTTCAAGACGGTTTTCAGTTCAGACTCACAGAAAAACATAAATTGATCTATTTGTTTGTCATTGATCAAATCAAATCAAGTTTTCATATCTTCAAATGTCTTCGTCATCATGAATCTGCTGCAGTCGTCTCCACGTCTGTCGACTCCCACAGTGTCGTCTCGTGCTGCAGCTGTTTGCAGTCAAAAGTGATCTAATGCAATCTACTGTACAACTCCTGCTCAGCTTTGAACAGTGGACAGACGCAGTTAGAGAGCAGCTGGTGAAGAGAGATGAACCTCAAGCAAAGATCCAGATACTTCTACCAGGAGTCAGAAGGAAACGAGACAATAACACATAAATATTCAACATAAGTTTAACAAGTTGAAATATCTGGGTGGTAGTAGTTTTGTGGTTTTTCCCGAAGCGAATGTGCAGTAGAGTAATTCTGTCAATCTTTAGTTCCATCACCTGTAAAGATTTTCTGTCACTCATCAAATGCATTGAATTTAAATCCAGAGAGATTTCAGTGAACGCTCCGATGAACAGATTGAAACTCTTTACAGATACTGTTGAAGCGCTGCAGAGCTCTGCCCACAGCTTGTTGTTGTGTTTGGTGTTAGTAGGTCACGGTGCTGCCCAGTAACATTCCTTCATGCTGTCATTTAGATAGAAGAGGGGGGGCGGAGATCACGCACTCGCTATCACACGTTCAAGGCTCACACAACTTTCTCTTCAACTTCCTTCAGAGGAAAAACTAAATGAAAGATTTACCAAAGAAATAACAAGTTCATTTATTAAACACAGACACACTGAGACAGTTAAACCAGTATAAACCAGCAGCCATTAAGATCTGCAGGAAGAAACCACCAGAACCCAGTAACTCTCCCCTTACAAGTCCCATCGACGCTCCTCAGGTATTCTTAATTATATGGACGACACAAAGAAACCCCGGTTTGATCCGCTGTGTCCCAGTAACATTGAATTCTGCACAGTGGTCATTCAAACAGAACTAAATTTCCAGGTCACTGAACTGCTCGAAAACAACAGCAGATATTTAACCAGTTATTTTGTTTGGTCACAAATGTTCTGATGTGTGCAGGGAAGCAAATGAAGTCTGAATGCTGCTGTAAACCACGTGTAGCATGAATTAATGATTAACTTCCTGAAAGAAGGAAACTGATTATTCATTGTTTTTGACTTTTTTTTTTTTCGATGCAGCAGATGTGAGAAAATCACAGTTTTGCATCTGCGCGTTCACAGACATCAGTTTCTCTCTCACACACAGTGTTTAGTCTGGCTGACCCACTGTGAGTTTATATAGTCACAAATCAAGTCAGAGGCTTCGTGCAGGACAGTTCCCACAGCTGTCCCATGATAGATGGACAGTGTGTACTGGGATATTACATGTATATTATTTTTGTGAGTCTAGAAAGAGCCTCGGTGTTTGATCATCTGAGAAACCCTCATCCTGCATTCACCGTGTTCTCTAATGCAAGTCTTTATTTTACTCAATGTGATTTGTGTTATGATCATCCACGATCCATGATCGAGTCTTTTGATGCTCTTTCTCCATCTTGCAGTTTAATGCTCATTTCAGTCTTTACACTAGAGCCTGACTCATTGATTTCTGTTGACTGATACCGAGAGGGAGTGAGACATTTTCAGTGCTCATATATCAGCTGATTAAACTGTGTCCATCAAAAAAAAGCATTTTTGTTCGTTGTTTATTCAGTAAAGTAAAAGTTTCATACCAGCAAACATAAATGTCTGTGAAATGGCTCATATCCGGCTCCACGTTTCACCCAGTGAGTTAACGAGTTAAAGGTCACAGCCACAAAATATTTAAAATGATTTCTTCATGTATGTGAAAGAAAAAAAGGCCATAACAACGTTGTTTATCGTCTCCGTGTTTCTCTGTGTTCATGTTCAGGTGAGCTGTCGCTGCCGAGGCTCTCTGGTACAGTTCTGGATTACAACAGCACAATGAAATGTCCCGGGAACAACAACAATATACAGACGAGCATCAGCTTCCAGTGCGGGACAACCATGGTAAGACGGATCAGAACCCTCACATGAAGTCAAACATGAGAACAGATGATTCACGCTTATTTTTATTTATTAATTTATCAAATCCTGTGATGTGCAGCAGCTCTTAGACAAACTGAAACAAAGAGCGAACCCCTCCCAGTATTTCTGAGCTTTCATTTGACTCAAAGTTCAACCAAAGTAACGATGAACTTTTTCTTTCTCTGGAACAAACATCAGAAATAAAACTGTTAACTGATTTATATTCACTGTGAAGCTAAGACTGGAAATATCGTCAACCGGTGACAGTCACCGCTGCTCAAGTGAGTCAAGCGTTTGTGGGACTGTGGGTTTTGACGAAGTCTGAGAGGTGGGCTGACATTAACGTGTCGCTTCCTCTTGAGTTTGTTCTGTTTCAGCAGAATCGAATTGAGGGCAGATTTTTTTTGTGAAGAAATGAAACTGAATGAAACTTCAGAAACTCATGTAACACAGTTAAAGACACACGAGATAAAATTAGATGAGATAAAAACAGAGACGTTAACAGAATCGTAAAAAAAAAACACAGAATGATGATGAATTAGCAGCAACAAATTACCATTCGAAGGACGAGAGAATAATCCAGAGTTTAGGGGGACTGAGGAGTTGATGTGACTTGGACAGTAAATGTTTTATAACTGAAACATTTGTGAAGTTGTGGCTTTGTGTCTCTCTGGAGCTGCTTACTACACAGCAAGTGTTGGTCAACCGTACCAACATGAAACTGTCTTACTCAAGTTTCTGTGTGTGTGTGTGTGTGTGTTTCTGTGCAGGGGACCCCGGAGTTTGTTGCCGTGTCTCAATGCGTGCATTACTTTGAGTGGAGGACGTACAGCGCCTGCAAGAATGGCAAATTCAAGCCACACAAAGAGGTACGTGGTGGAACATCCGACCTGGAGGCCGAGTCACTGACGAGAGCATTTTATGTGTCAGAAAGAACGAAGGTGACGTTGTCGTGGGTGAGCGAGGACGAGCCAGGGAGGTGTTAAACTGGAAAAGCTCTTGTGAGGATGCACGAGTATAAGACACGTGTTCAACAACAGTGTGGAAGACTCGTCTCATGTCACAATGATCTAGTTCATCTGCGTTTAAGACAGAATAATTGGAACGTGTGAAACCAACTGATGTGTGATTCATTGTGTGTGAAATTCATTAAATCTACATGAACATTTCTGAGGCAGATGAAATGTGAACTATCGATTCATGAATTGACTATAAATTATATTTTGTTTTATTAAATAGCAGAAAAGGAACTTAGCTCCTGTGTGTGTGTGTGTGTGTGTGTGTGTGTAGGTGCCCTGCTACGTGTTTGACACCACTGGTAAGAAACACGACCTGAACCCACTGATCAAAGTGAACGATGGTTATCTGGTGGACGACGGCGACGACAGCATCGACTTCTACATCAACATCTGCCGCAGCATCAGTGAGTGACAGGTGGAGGGTGCATGGATGACGATGGAGGCGACCGTGGGGCGGGTTTTAACTTTTTAAACAAAGTACAACGTGAGAAAGAAAGATGAAGAAGATCAACGTACAGGATGAAACTCACGTACTGTCTGTATTCTATCAGCTGTTTACGTTCGCATGTCTCCTGCTCTTTCAGACCAGCCTGATAGATCCTGTCCGGAGGGCTCTGCGGCGTGTCTGGTCACCGCTCACGGCTCCTTCAGCATGGGCTCTCCCACCAGACCTCTGGAGCTGGTCGACAGCGACAGGTGACCTCTGAATGAACGATGACCTCCTGTTCACTTTATGTGAAACTGAAAATAACCTGCTCACATTCAAACTCCTGTATCTTAAAATCAGTTTTAAACAGAAGATTAAACATTTAAAATCTTTGTTTGAATCTTCTTTCCCCTCAAGTCTGAGGTTACAGTATGAAGCGAGCGCCGGTTCGTCTCCTCCAGACTTCTGTCAGGGACACAATCCTGCCGTCACCATCACGTTCATCTGTCCATCGAGCAGACACTCAGTAGGTTACGCTCCCTCGCGTGTTTATCTGTCTTCTTGTTTTCTCTATCAACTGATCTGTCGTTTACTCAGAGTCGTTTTTGTCTCCGCAGGGCAGCGCCCCTAAGATGACAGCGGAGTCTAACTGCCGTTACGAGGTGGAGTGGGTGACTGAGTATGCTTGTCACAGAGACTATCTGGAGAGCAAGACCTGCAAACTGACCAGTGAACAACATGACATCTCCATAGACCTAACTCCTCTCACTCTGAGTTGTAAGTCATTTCTTATCTCCTCTCATGGTAACTCTCAGAATGAGTCAGGTCCAGATCTATGATCAAACTAAACATCTTAACTTGTTTTCCCATTTTAACTTTCCCCGGTCTTTTATGTTTTTTAACCAAACACTTGTTTTGTTTGGCAAGACGGCAAAAATTAGTTTCAGGAGCACAGACTCCTTCGTCTCCTCAGCCTGGAGCCAGACACTGATCAGAGCATCTGGGTTTCTGCACCGGTGGAGTCGGGCTATTTAACATTGGCAGATGTGTTTTCATGCAGGACTCGAAACGTGTTCACAAGGATCTCAAACTAGATGCAGAGTCTGGCGGAGAGCGTGTGTTACACGACAAACCCTCATGGGATGAATCAACTGAACGATGTCTCAGCTCGAGATGCAGAAGGGCTGAGATTAGCAACGCTGATACCACCGCTGCTGCTGTGGTGCCCATTGAATGCTATTTCAAGAGGGGTGAACCTGAGTCTATCAGAGAGGAGCATTGTGTCAGGATGTTTTAAACTATTATAAACTCTTGTTACAAGATTAAAAGTACACACACGCTAAGAATAAGCAGTTTCTTCTTTCTGGTTTGGCAGAAAACAAACACTGGTACATGAACGTCCCTCTGTTTTCATATCATCCACAATCACATATTTAACCTCCAAGAATTATTGGCTGTTGCTTTAATTATCCTTTGGGGGAAGTAACTTCACGTGTACATTATTATGACCTTCCTGTTCTGACAGCTCATTGTGGCTAGAAATAGAAAACGCCGTTTCCACAAGTGTGTGTGTGTGTTTGAATCTCTGAGGCCCTTAAAGGAATTATCTGCATTTTATTTAAGATTGATACCAAACTATTCCTTTAATTTAATACTAATAAAAATGAATGAATTGCTGATTGCTACCCATATTCTTAATCTTTAAAGGGACAGTTCCACATTTTAACTTTCTGAAGAGATT